AACAGGTTGATGCTGTCCATCCCCTCCAAAAGGGAGAGTCCTGCGCGGTGTCCTGTCAGCCGCCTCCGTGAGCCTTTGGTCGGTTGCTGTTGGCGTACTTTGAGGCAATTACGCGTCATAATGGTATGTGAACGTATCATGGAACGTTACGCCTCTGCGAGTGCTTCCTTGCGGTTGTAGATCATCTAACTGGCTCATACTAGCATCTTGTGCGTCTACGTTTCCTCTACTCTCTAGGTCAACTATTCTAGCAGTCAACTCTTCCTGTTGTTTCTTGATCACTAGTGTCATATAATGTATCCAACACTTTTCTTAAACTCGACAGGTTTTCACTTACTAAGGTTAACAATTCCAGTTTTCTTTCATGCTCCTGCGGACGACAGATCAGATTCTGTATCTAATAGCGTATGCCTGAGGTAATTGGAATTGGCTGTTATCGTTAGCTGTTATGGTGATGTTTCCAGTGTTGCTATTACTCGTGCTATGGTTCAGTACGTATGAAATGTTGATTGCTGTTTCTTGCACCCTTGATATAACGTCAGCATTTTGCATTAATTGTTGCAATGGGTGTTCGTCCTCTTCTTCGTTCGCTGTATGTTCAGCGTAGATGGACGTTATTAGTTCTGAATGTAGCGCTGTTCTTCTTGCTGGGTTATTATCTATTATCCTTGTTTGCTCAAAGTTGCTCGCTGAATAATCATCTAGCAGCCAGTTCTGTAACCTCCTGGATTGAGCGAGCTTGCTTCCATTTGTTCTAAGCTTAAGCTGCTTTGTGTACTCACTGATTTCTCCCTCTTCGAGCATTAATACCCAATTTACCACATCTTTTTGCGTCTCGTCCATTTTTGCGGCTATTCTGTTTAATATCCTTTAATAACAATCGCTGGCGGCTTTACTTCTGTATAGATGCTACCTAGATACTGTTATTTCTTGATAATAACCGCAAATTATCGCCGCATTTGATGTTTATACAATTGCTACCGAAATTGCATACGTTCACTCTTGCGCATTCCTTTCCTTATTCCTGTAGCCTTATTGCGTGTGCGATTTACTTAATTTTTAAAACCTTTTTTAATTTAACTAAATTAGCAGATAAAATGCTTAGTACACATTACAAACACTATTAAGCCGGTCGAGAAATTCTTTAGCTCGTTATTACGCAATAAATTTATCCTACCTATCAGGCGCACTAGTTGTATGTTAGTGTGTCTGTTTTTAGTATTTACAAAATTTAATTTTTGTTAAACAAGCTTAATTGCGCGCGATCACTAATTTCGCAGCTATAAATTCAAATACGGCTTATTTCTGTTATTTAATCAACATGAAAATAAAGAAGCGGTAGGAGCTGAAAAACAACGCAAGACAGGGAGAGAGTCTGGTCCAAAAGACCAGATGATCCAAAAGATCCAAAAGAACGATGCCGATGAATATGCAAGGAGGCCTGCGCGCACGATGGGTCAGGTCGCCGGGCATAATACGTCGCTTGACTTGCATGTATCAAGCTGCGCGTACACGCGCGATCGGATGGCGAACGCGCGGTGTCAAGTAAATATAAGCCCCGGGTCCGTTTAGTGCACGCAGCTCAGCCAAGACGTTACGGCGCAGCTGGTGCTCGCCGGTGAGGCCGATCGCGAGCGCTATCTCTCAGCATCTGCGTCCACGGGACCACGGCGCTACCTTCCATCAACATATCTCGCATCGATACGCATGCATTATGCATCCTGCTTTCGGCCGAGTTGCACGACGAACCAGACCGAGCGCTCACTGGAATCGTCGACGCCGAATTGGAAGATCGCTGACGCGCAGCTGCAGCGCGTCGATTAGCCTTGACAGGTAAAATGTGGCTCCGGCCGATAAGTTACGTGAAAACGGAAACTCTTTATCGAAATCAGTTAGAAAAAGGAGACGGCCACGAGTTAAGATTAGCGCCTCGTTTTACCAATGCGCACCGCTCATTCTGCATGCGCGCGATAAACGCGACACACGTGCCTTGCATTTCTTTCGATTGTGATTTGCGGCTTTCCAAAGCGAGCATAACACTACGATATGCGCGCCAAACGAGTCTTCCTCTTTTTCGCTATTGTAGCGCTCTCGCACTGCGCCATATTCGCGTGCGTACGGCACACACGTAATGGGCCGCAAATGCAACGCACGTACGCCTCTCGGTACTTTGTACCGTCGACTCGCGATCGTGTCAACGCAGACGTTGCATCTGCAATGAAACGGACCCGTCCGAATGCTCTCTAATTTCATGTGCGACGACATTTTTTTGTTGACGAACCAAACAACGACGGACGCGATCAATTTATATAAAGATAATTACAAACCCAAGCTTTTTCTTCATTCCTGTCGGATAAAAATACATCTAATAATATTCTACCATCTGCATAACGTTTCCATTTATGATAATTCGCTTCATTGTTCAACGAAAGATGTTTAACATCATCAACATTTTTCTATGATTGGCTTAACGTTCTCTAGAAAGACCGCGATTATTCCACCGATTTTTCACAGATTTATACGTGTAATTGACTCATGCATAATCTCACTGGTATATGTGCAGCTTACTTATGAAGGAAAGGCCAAAATGACGCTCACATTGAAAACAACGAAACAACACACAGAACAAAGACAAGGAAAGAAGGATATTTCTCTGTGTAGTTCTATTTCACTGCTGTTGGAGCATTAAACGATACTGAATGAAATGATAAGGGAGACACAAAGAAAGGTGTTGCGCATTAATTGTCGGCGTATCAATGTCGAACCGTGAACATGCGGACAGCGGTCAAAGGAGGTCGCGATAAGGAACTGCTCCAACGCGAGCGACACCCAGACCGTACACCTCCAGGTGTATACCCATCATACCCGCACGTAGCTGTGAAGCCCATTGTTCTCACTGATTGATCTTTGTACTATTCTGTGCGCATTTCCGTGTTATTAACGCCTCGTGCAAATGCGCATTTATGAACAGGCGTTTTGTCTAATCGCGAACGCCACTGGTACATTTACGTTGGGCGTTATGTAACAGGGTGTATATTTAATGTATGTGCTACGCCGGGCACGGAATGCAGAGTGTGTATGTGCGCAAACGAGCGCCAGCTGCACGAACGTTGCCGCTGCGCCACACAATGGCGTAGACTTCAGCGGTGCTCGACGAACTTTTAGAAGATTGCCCGCACGGGCAATCTCGAGCACCTTCTCTGCGGCAATCCTTCCGCTGCTACCTTACCTCTAGCGTAGCCACGTTCATCTCCGGGCGAAGTCCCCGTTGTTTGCCACCGTTACTTTGTACGGTAGGCTCAGCCTCGCTCGGAGGTATTTGGGATGGGATGTGATTCCGACTAGCTAGAAACGGGCGCGAAAGCACAAGATTGTTTTGTCGACACGAACGCACCGATGAGGGAAAGGGATTCTAATAACGGGTCAGTCAATGATTTTATTTCATACATAATTTACTTGTCTCTAAGATGGTTTTTATAATGCACTATCCACGTATAAATTTTAGGCCCACGCTGCTCCTGTGATTTACTATACTTGACGTATACGGATGCCGTCATCTTATCCGCTGCCGTAAATAAGTCATGCTTATTCACTTTCGCTACGTAATACGCACAATTGCCTTTTATCGTCTCGCGATCTCACGTGAGATGGCCGGTGACTTCGTCCGAACACGCGAAATTAATAACGTGAAGCTGGCCAGCTTACCTTATTACAACGGCTCTTATCTACGCCGACGCTCAGATTAGCCTCGTTTGTATTCCAATCTCGCTGGAGAAGTTGCCGATGTCGACTCAGACGTCTACCGTATCATTAGCGTGTGTTTTGTCAGTATGCCCTTTTCTTTTCTTAGCTATAGTCCTTCACAAAACAGCTACACACTTTTAAGACGGGATGAAACGTTCGCACTTCGAAAGGGCCATAACCATCTGCCGCAAGTAGCTATCCTAAACTCTTTTCTTTTCGCTATCCTTATCTTCCCACGCAAAGAGCGCTCTCAACTCGTGTCCGGCAGATGCTACCCCTCGCGGGCAGTTGTCCTGACGAGGTGAGAGCACCAATATAACGTTCACCGTTACAGAACATATTATTTTTCTGTACTTGGAAAACAATCACAAAAATTTATTGAAACTTTTTCAACAGTATTTCAAATCAAAATGAATCAATCAGATGAGTGTAATGCATATTTATTCAGTTGGAATTTATTCCTATTTTGTGATGCAATATCTAATGCAATAATATGTTCACACCAACAATTTTTTTCACGACTTCTCAAAATTGTTGGAAAATTCGGTTGTGAGCACCGAAATTAGTTCAATTGTGGGCAGTCGTTTTGTTTTTTTGAAATTGCTAGAATATCGTCGATGATTGAACCTAACTATTTTGTAAGCAATACCTAATTAAATATATGTATGTTAATAATTTTTTGTTTCCAAGTATTTCTTTTATATTAACATGTCAATGATGTTTTCATGTATTTTTCGATTTCTTTTAGCCATGCCGTCCAAAGATAAATGGAAAAAATCGTCGGATATAGATTTTAATGTACTCCTTGATATCATTAAATGTTCTTCTGTGGATAAGCTGTCCACAAATTTCTAAAATGTTCAAAAATAGTTTATTGAAAATTGTTCAATAGTTTTTCTAAATTATAATATAGTTGTTCTAAAATGTTATTCTAAAATAAATAAACCTTTATTTTTTCTATATTCTTTGCGATTTTTCTTCATATTTTCTCATTTTCAGCATAATTTGGAAGATTAATGCAATACAACCGAATCATAATATATTTTGGCCAAAAATAACCACTTCACAAAATTAACACAAAAAATTATTCTATTGACGGAATCAATTTCGTCCCTTTGTTCGTAATTAGCTAAGGTCTCTAGCATGCCACAGATACCTACGTATATAGCCAAAAAATATACAGTTGGTGAATGGTTATGATCCAAAAATAAATGAATTTCCCCTACTAATAATAATGTAATTAATGTGATTGTATTTCATTCTGAAATCTTACCAGCTCGCTCTGTTTTCATGGAGTCCCAAACATTACAATTGAAGTCATCATAACCAGCCAAAAGCAATCGACCACTTTTACTGAAGGCTACACTTGTGATACCACAAATTATGTTGTCATGACTATACATTGCTAATTCTTGATCAGCTCGAATATCGAAAAGTCTACAAGTAGCATCATCTGAACCTGTTGCAAAGGCAAATCCATTCGGAAAGAACTGCAAAATTAAGTATGTTGAATATATAAATTTTATAATAATAATATTGATAACATTCTGAGAAAAATTTTTTTTTATCTGATATCAAAAAACCAAGCATTATGTTGAAAATTTATAATCTACATTACATAAAAATACTTGACGATAACGGAGATAATAAGTAGGATTGTATTGAAAGTAGGTAACATAGGTAGAACAGTACAAAGTTTTCTATTTCCTGCATTCTTGCAAAAAAAATTTTTATAAATTATCCTGTCTCTTATAAAAGTTTCATTTGTGATATACCCAAAATCTATAGCCCTATTACTGATATAAAACCTCTAAACCTTAGTTGGAATGACTGAACAAATTATTGCAACATATCTTCTTGTCACGTAAGACTAGTGAAAAAGAACTTATAGGAGCGAGAATGTTTTTATGTATGTATTCAGCCGCCTTTATGTACTTGGCTTGTAAAAATATATAAGAGACCATTCTCCAATCAACGAAAATTTCATGCAAAAATTTAGGGATGGAAAAAGATATATTGAGGGCAACATAAATGGATACTCTATATAAAATTCAACTCGAAATATTACATCAGTTTTTTTTTGTAATGGTTGAATGTTAACAAACAAGTTTTTCAATGTAAATTACGGTATGTATTTTAGATGAAAAAGTTTTAAATGAAATTAATTAAAAATGAAGGAAAACCTACATACCTCAAAAGTTTTAAATAAAAGTTGTATATAATAAATGAAAAAGCTACAATTTAAGCGGCCACGCCATTATTATGATTGATTAGTTATTGTAAAAAGTAGCTATAACTCTCGAAAATGGTTATTGTTAACCTATCGAATATTCATTAATTACGTTTTCCTTTCAATTTTATTTATAATTTGTCTGATGACAATAAGTGAATATTGTGTATAAAAATGTAAATCGTACGTTTATATGAAGATATTTCAACATTGATTTGTACCAGTTTGTTTATTTAACAGAGCTAATTTTATGTGTGTATTAAATGCATAAAAGGTGTTTAATATTTCTTAAGCCTAGAAAATCTTAGTATTATGTATATTAATTTTTTCTCTTAACAGTTAGGATGTTCCGTTAATTTTCTAGAAATTACTGCTTCTTTTTTAACAGTCCGTATGTTTACGTCTTTCCTGATTATCTCATTTATGATCAACCACAGCACATTCGTGATAGATCTGACGGCTTGGTCAATCTTATGTTTGGCAAATTTTCAAGGATATCGATGTTTGATTTAATGTCTGTATCCCTTCTTCGACTAATTTTTATTTTGCTTTTAAGAGATTGCTCTTACGACTGAATACATTCATTAGTTGTTAAGATAATTTTATTAGTAAACTACGACATGCCCAAAGTATGTGACTGTAATTTTTTTTCGGCCTAAGTTATTGAGTTGCAAGATGGCTCAAAATCTTTGTCAAGATGTTAATTTTTATATTTTATTAGAGACAAATGAAAAAATTTATGTTCAACTCCTTATTTTCAGTTTAAAAAAAAAGACGCTGTTTTCGTCATCAATAAATAGCTTTGAAGTTTTTTCTATTTATTGCAGATATTTATTATTGACAAATTCATTTAGCTGCATTCAAGGTAAAGATTTTGAAAAAAAGAAATTATATTCCATCAATAGGAACCGAGTTAGATTTTTTCAAAATTTTAGCTCTTTCTAATTAATAGTGAGAATGAAAATGAAGTGTCGGAAAAGACGAAAACCGGTAGTGGTGTAGGAAGATTTTTATCAGCCCTCTCGTACGTTCAAACTGATACGTTTGGAAAATTTGTGTCTATCTCACAGGAAAGGTTCCCAAGGTGTACCTCACCGATTTTTATATTATAATATGTTATAGTTCTCAAAGAAATATCAGAGACATATTTTCTTTTGAACAAAATCTTCTGAAAATCACCCCTAAAGTTCATCCCTAAAAACAATTTTTTTTTCAATATCTCAAAAACTATTTGGAGTTTCTTAGTAAAATCAATGTCAAAAAATTTCTTATAAATATACGTTTCTTCAGCCATAGCTTTTATACCGAAGGCTTGCAACCACTATTTTTTTACGGGAAATAAAGTTGATTAAATCAGCTAGTTTCAGTTAGAAATTACAGATAATGAGAAAATAAAAAATTTATTTGACGTGTTTCCGGACTTTTGAAGAAAAGCTTTTTCAGGGGTGTTTTACTCCTACAATCCACCATTGCTAAATCATAAGAAGGCTAATGTACCTAACTTTGAAAACATGGTGTTTAGTCGCTTTTTTTAAATAATTAAATTCACACCACAAGCCAAATATCCAACCTAATCATCTACCCTCTAACCCACCTAACCCCTAAAACCCAACCCTACCAAACCACAAACAGGCTAACCCATCTAACCCTGGAAACTGCGAATTTAGTTGCTTAATATTTTTTTTTTTCAATTAAATTTCACACTACAAGCCAGTTCATCCACCTAACCATTTACCTCAAATCCATAAAATACAAAGCCACAACCCTCAAGTGGGTTAGAGGGTAGATAGGTTGATTACTAGGCTTGTGGTGTGAAATTTAATTATATAAAAAAAAAAAAATAAACTCTGTTCTCAGAGTTAGATGAATTAGCCTACTTGTGATTTGGTAGGGGTGGTTTCTAGGGGTTCGAAGGTAGGAGTTTAGGTTGATTAGTTGGATTGTGGTGCAAAATTTTATTATTTTAAGAAAAATAAACGACTAAACACGATGTTTCTAAGGTTACGTAAGTCTTCATAAGGTTTGCTAAGGGTTGATTGTAGGGGTAAAACACCCCTGAAAAAATATTTTCTTCAAAAATACCGAATCACGTCAAATTAAATTTTTCATTTTCTCAATTAATTATCCCCATTAATGCAATTTCTAACTGAAACTAGCTGATTTAATCAACTTTGTATAAAAAAACTAATAAGAAAAATACACAACTATCCCTGAAAAAATAGTGGTTGCAACCTTAAGTATAAAAGCTATGTCTGAAGAACCGTATGAAATACACAGCTCCACAAAAAAAATTCTATGCACGGAACCACACCACTATATCCTTATGTTACTAGGGTCGCTGAATCCGAATCTAATATCAAAATTAACATCTTGACAAAGATTTTGAGCCATCTTGCAACTCAATAACTTCGGTCGAAAAAAAATTACAGTCACATACTTTGGGCATGTCGTAGTTTACTCATAAAATTATCTTAACAACTAATGAATGTATTCAGTCGTAAGAGCAATCTCTTAAAAGCAAAATAAAAATTAGTCGAAGAAGGGATACAGACATTAACCCATTAACGCTCACAGGACGGTTTTTCGAGACCTGAGTTTGAACTATTCTCATGTCATGAATTCTCGTGGAAAAAATTCAGGAACCATTGTTTCTTATGTTTTCGAGTGTCCTCTTTCCAATGATGCTGGTTAAAATTGTCGCTGAAAAACTTTTACGGTCTAAAAATCAAAAATAAATAAAAAAAACATGATTTTCTGATTTAATTTTTTTTTTAAATCGACTTTTCGTTCCCTAAGCATTTTTTTTAATGCCTAAAACCCTTATAGATCGCGGCCTCGAGGTTTTAACTACAAGTTACTATGGTTCTCCGGATATGAAAATTTTTCGTATAAACAAAATGGCGGCCGAAGTGAAAATATTTATCTAAAACTTTACAAATTTTTTTCTCGAATACTATAGATTTTCATGAAAATTTTTAAAGAACAAAAATGTCTTAGAATTAGTTATAAAATACTCTCAAATTTTTTCAGAATCATCCGAGAAAATTTTGGGATTTCGGAAAAGTCTCTGAATTGAAAATTTAAAAATTATGTCGGAAAATTTTCAAATAATTTGAGAGCGTTCTTTGTTTGTTTTTAAGACATTTCTATTCTCAGAAAAATGTTCCTAAAGAGTATACTTTTCGAGAAAAAAAATGTTAAAGTTTGCTAAACAAATATTTTGTTTACCAAAAACCATGCACTTTACGAAAGTTTTTCTGAGAATAGAAATATCTTAAAAACAAACAAAGAATGCTCTCAAATTATTTCAAAATTTTCCGACATAATTTTTAAATTTTCAATTCAGAGACTTTTTCGAAATCCCAAAATTTTCTCGGATGATTCTGAAAAAATTTGAGAGTATTTTATAACTAATTCTAAGACATTTTTGTTCTTTAAAAATTTTCATGAAAATCTATAGTATTTGAGAAAAAAATTTGTAAAGTTTTAGATAAATATTTTCACTTCGGCCGCCATTTTGTTTATACGAAAAATTTTCATATCCGGAGAACCATAGTAACTTGTAGTTAAAACCTCGAGGCCGCGATCTATAAGGGTTTTAGGCATTAAAAAAAATGCTTAGGGAACGAAAAGTCGATTTAAAAAAAAAATTAAATCAGAAAATCATGTTTTTTTTATTTATTTTTGATTTTTGGACCGTAAAAGTTTTTCAGCGACAATTTTAACCAGCATCATTGGAAAGAGGACACTCGAAAACATAAGAAACAATGGTTCCTGAATTTTTTCCACGAGAATTCATGACATGAGAATAGTACAAACTCAGGTCTCGAAAAACCGTCCTGTGAGCGTTAATGGGTTAAATCAAACATCGATATCCTTGAAAATTTGCCAAACATAAGATTGACCAAGCCGTCAGATCTATCACGAATGTGCTGTGGTTGATCATAAATGAGATAATCAGGAAGGACGTAAACATACGGACTGTTAAAAAAGAAGCAGTAATTTCTAGAAAATTAACGGAACATCCTAACTGTTAAAAGAAAAAATTAATATACATAACACTAAGATTTTCTAGGCTTAAGAAATATTAAACACCTTTTATGCATTTAATACACAAACATAAAATTAGCTCTGTTAAATAAACAAACTGGTACAAATCAATGTTGAAATATCTTCATATAAACGTACGATTTACATTTTTATACACAATATTCACTTATTGTCATCAGACAAATTATAAATAAAATTGAAAGGAAAACG